CCGCTCCGGAGCTTAGAGTGCCCAGACAGCAAGTGTGAAAAATCGGGCTGGGGGTGGGGGGTAATAGGCGCCTATATAAGATAAAGTCCCAAATACCGGGACTGTCCCTATAAAATCAGGACATCTGGTCACCTGGTCACCCTACCAGAGCTGCCGGGAAGCCGGGCAGGGCCTGGTTTGGGCTCGCCAGCCCCGCTTTGGTCGTGGGAGCTGTGCGGGGCCATGATGCCTGCGGCGGGTAGCCCCCAGCTGGCTTTGGGGTAAGATTTGGAGCTGCTGGCAAGACTGAGGGCGCTAACCCATGGGATGGGGGCACACCCTGGGGGTGGGGCAAAGCAAGGGGGTGTAGAAGCTGCATCTGCCCCCTTAGCTTGTGGAGACCCTCATGAGGGTGTGGGTGGGAGCGATCCTGCCCTCCCCCTCCCCCCTTAGGGACGGGACCTTCCCAGCTCTGTTTCCATCCCCAGAGATGACGCAGCGGGACGTGCCCGGCTTCGCCATCGGGGGGCTGAGCGGCGGCGAGGCAAAGGACCACTTCTGGAAGATGGTGACCCTCAGCACCGACCGCCTCCCCAGGGGGAAGCCCCGCTACCTCATGGGGGTCGGGTAGGTGTCGGCGCTGAGCAGCGCCGGCTCCCCTTCTCCTGGAGCTTTCGGCTGGACTTGGCGTCTCGGGGGACTGGCTCAGGGATTGTCCCGTCTATGCAGCGCCTGCTGCGCTGAGCTTTGGCCCAGCTTGTGGGGCAGGGGGTGCTTCATGCTGCCGAACCGAGGGGGTTCAGGCACCTGGGAGCCTGGGGCAGGGGTTGCTTCATGCTGCCGAACCGAGGGGGTTCAGGCGCTTGAGGCCTATTGTGCAAGTTGAAGCCTAAACATGGCTGCTTAGTTACCCCACTTCCTCTTGGGTCATGGGAGGGGAACACGTGACCCTTCGCCAAGAGGGTGATGCCCGGGGGCTGGCAGGGACGGCCCACATATGGGCAGGGCCCCAATCCTAACATCCCTTCCCCACCCATGTGCTTCACTCTGCCCTCCAGAGACCCCCCCCACTGGGGCAGAGGGGGATTGGGTCATCTCACCCCCTCCTTGAGGTTCCC